TCTGGCTAATCTACATGCCTCCATCGACGGAGGCATGTAGTCTAGACACACCCTAAGAGTGCAGCCACCAACTCTTACTGGTGGCTGCTCTGACAATTTTTCCTAAATATTTAATTAATTTTAGGAAAAACAAATGAAAATACACACACACACACACACACACACACACACGTCAAAATCATTGTAATTTATTTATGTAGAGTTTTTTGCAGACTCAGTAATAAAAATAACATACAGTTGTCTCTATTCTTTGTGGACCTAAAGAGAATATAAACATAAAAGGTACTTTGCATGTTCTTATCCTTTTTGTTGTTTCGGGGTTTTTTTTGTTTGATTTTTGTGTTTTTTTAGATTTGCTAGTTAGGAAGTCCTTCTGTGAGAAATGATATTTTATGTATGTTAATATCATTTTTTCATAGCAACAAACTTGCTCACTAGCTGGGAGGCAGCAAAAATTATATTAATCAAAATAAACATCACTTTTTACAACAGAGTTATTCAGCCGTGGCAAGCTAAGGAGCACAAACCAAGGCCTGGATGGGGAGGTGGGGTATGGAGAGATGAGGGGATGGATATGGGGCTGAGCAAGGTAGTGGGGCTCAGATGCAGTGCAGACCATGGGTGAGGGGCCAGGGCTGGCAGTGGGGTGCCAGGAGAGAGGGGGTAGTGGTGAGCTTGCAGCTAAAGCCCTGCAATCAGAACTTTGCAGCTGCTGATTGGACAATGTGGGGACCAGGAACAAAATAAGTATGGGGTGGTAGGCACAGGGGAAGCATCCACTCCTGCAGGACTGGGGCTGGAGCCCATGGCCCTGCTACTAGAGCCTGAAACCATGCAGCCAGAGGATGGATCCCACTGCCCACCATCCCAGGGCAGAAACCTGAGACTTATTGCCTCCCAGGAAAGTGATAAACTCACACTGGCTGCCTGCTACTACTGCATTTGTGGTTCCAGAGAGGGACAGGGTCCAGCCCCTGCTGACAGCCCGAGGGGAGGAGTCGCTACTCCAGGGGTGGCCAACCCGTTAGAGACAAAGAGCCAAAATAGCTATGGATAGAGTGCAAAGAGCCACGTATTACATATTTTTATGTATCTAGATAGATAGCTAGATATAGTACACAAAATGTAGTGATAAAAATAACATTACAGGACATTTCGGACAAAAACAATAAAAAAGTCTCTAGTTGCTTAAAAAATTCACAGCCAGTCCATAGATCTTCAGAGGACTTAACAAGAAACAAACATCAAATAAAAAAAAACCCTTTTAAAAATACAGTAATATTTTCACACTAAAAAAAGTATCTCCACCATGTATTTTATATTTAACACTACTGTCCTACTAAGTCCTGTGAATTTTTTAAAATACAAAAGAAAGATAAATAGGTCTGCAGAGTCCTGTTCTCCTCCTACAGGATACCAGTAATACAAGCAAGAATGAGGCCCTTTGCCTCAAAGAGCTTGGCCATGGCATCAGTGTGTGGGAAGACGTGTTTCCCACTGTTGTTTCCCATGACAAATATTCTGAAATAAGGCAAAAAATCAATTCTTTGGACACTGTTCTCCTCTGCAAGACACAAGGAAATTTCACTGGAATCCATTTTGATCTCACTGTAAACTAGGCACAGCTCAGTTGAGGTAAATAGAGTTAAAGCAGTGTATCTGAGATCAGGGTCAAATCCATGGACTTTCTGAGACTTACTTGTATCTTGCCATGGGAGAATCAGTCTGGCTACGTCTACACTGGCCCCTTCTTCGGAAGGGGCATGCTAATTTTGAATGTGGGAATAGGGAAATCCGCGGGGGATTTAAATATCCCCCGCGGATTTAAATAAACATGTCCGCCGCTTTTTGAATAAGGAATAAGAGATCCTCCGGAATAGGGCTTTATTCCAGAGGATCGGGCCAGTCTAGATGCTTTTTTTCTGGCTTTTCCCCAAGCCGGAAAAAAAGCGGCGGACATGTTTATTTAAATCCGCGGGGATATTTAAATCCCCCGCGGATTTTCCTATTCCCACTTTCAAAATTAGCATGCCCCTTCCGAAAAAGGGGCCTGTGTAGACGTAGCCAGTGTGAACCAGGTACATGCTGATTCTTTTTTTGCCCTGGAATTTAAATGACATTTGCATTGGCTGCCTTATTCTGTATCCACAAAGACTTTGAGTTTAAGGTGCTTCAGTTCCCTCCACTCCCTCAGAGCCAGGCACCCCCCCCATCTAACCCAATCCCCCTTTGTCCCCCCCAACCCTCCCTCCGTTTTAACCTAAGGCCTGGGGCTCACTTGCCAGGGTCTCACTGCCGCTGCCACCATGCTCTTCTCCCTCCAGGCTGTGGGGCGCGTGCGCAGAGTGGCCGGCCATGAGCAGTCCGGGCACGCAGCTCAGAGCTAGCAAAAGCCGCATTTCCTTGAGCAAAGAGCCACATGCGGCTCAAGAGCCACGGGTTGGCCACCCCTGCGCTACTCCATCCCTCCCAACCACTACCCAAGAGACTGTGGGTGCACAATAATCTCCTGATGCATGCAATTGGAAAAACATTGCACTAGACAATACTGCCACTCATAATATATTCGTATTGGAGAGCAAGTCACATAAAGAGGATGGAATGTATTGTTCTAAAGTTAATAGGACATAGGAAGTCCACAAGAATTAATTGCTACATATGCCCATGTCATAAGTTTCAAAGGAAGATCTAAGATCTCAATACTGAACTTAACAGTGCATTCTGATGTCATGGAAAGTGATGGGTTTTTTTCTAGGTTCTGGCTGATGATCTGGAGTACAAGGACCTGCGATATGTAAAAAATTGATCTAAAATATTAGTGTCACTCCAGATGTTTTCTCTTGCTCTTTCAGGTATTTCCATTGCCCAGCAGATAGTTCAGAGCTCGCATATGATCCACCTGCAGTCATGAATGCGGACACCCTCAGTTACTGTCAGAAAGAAGCATGGTGTAAACTAGCTTTTTATCTCCTTTCCTTCTTCTACTATCTTTATTGGTAAGCGTGACCATTCCCATATAGAAGTGGCATAGAGCTGTTTTTCATGTAAACATTAAGCTTGTGCTACGGAGCAACAAGAACAGGCCTCATTCCCATTGCCTTGAGTAACCATTTTAATCCATGAATCAGGACAACATCTGTTCAGAACAGCACTTAGGCATGTGTTTAAAACCCATTGAGATGATAGGGCTTAAAGTTAAGCATGTACTTAAATGCTTTCCAGAAGGGGGTTCCAATGCATCCCCAAAATTTCCAAGACAATTTCATTCAGCCTTGAGTTAAAGAGCTACCTCTGTTAGGAAATTTTTATTCTTTTATCTTTTGGATAGTCTCTTTAGATGGGTGTTACTTTATATTGGTATCATAGCAAATGAGTTACCTCAGTTGTTAATAATATACAATATTAGGGTCAAATCTGCCCTGTGGTGTATAAGTTGATTTTTACCTAACACTCAAAAGATCACTAGAAAGAGGGTCTACTTGCAGCTCATTAATCTGAAATTAATGCCCATTCACTAGAGTAGCTGACCAGTTAGCATGCATGTTGTGGTTTGCAGCAGTTACTGCTGCCCTGTGGCCTATCCTGAGCCAGCTTACCTTGCATTTTACAGATAGTTCTACTGCTAACCATACAAGGTCTCAGCCAAAAGTCTCTGTAAATAAAGGGAAAGACTCCTGGTCTATAGAAAGCTTCACCCCATAAGTCCCCCTCTACACTGTCACATTTTCTAAGGGCAGAGATGGACGGACAAATGGATAGATGCACATTTTAAAAATATATAGATAGATATTTCATTGCATGAAGATTTTTTCTCTTAAGAAACTCTGTTTTCTCTTCAGGGACTGGCTGGCAGAAATTTCCAAAAACAAATACGCTAGTAGAGTAGTGATAGAAATATATCCATGTTCATCTGGTGTAGCTGAAACAAAAAACAGGACTATGTAGCACTTTAAAGACTAACAAGATGGTTTATTAGGTGATGATCTTTTGTGGGCCAGACCCACTTCCTCAGATCAAATAGTGGAAGAAAATTGTTACAACCATATATACCAAAGGATACAATTTAAAAAATGAACACATATGAAAAGGACAAATCAAATTTCCGAACAGAAGGGGGATGGGGGGGGGGGGGACGTAAATGTCTGTGAGCTAATGATATTAGAGGTGATAATTGGGGAAGCTATCTTTGTAATGGATAAGATAATTAGAGTCTTTATTCAAACTTAGGTGTAAAGTGTCGAATTTAAGCATGAATGACAGTTCAGAGGATTCTCTTTCAAGTGTAGTCTTAAAAGACCTTTGAAGCAGGATGCAGGTAATCAAGTCGTTGAGATAATGTCCTTTCTGGTTGAAATGGCAAGAAACTGTTTTTTCTTTGTGATCCTGTCTAATATCTGTTTTGTGGGCATTGATCCTTTGTGAAGTGTCTGAGACGTTTGTCCAATGTACGTAGCTGACAGACACTTTCGGCACATAGTAGCATAAATTATATTTCTGGATGCGCAGGAATATGTGTTCTTGATCTTCTAACTCACTTTATACCTAAGTTTGAATAAAGACTCTAATTATCTTACCCATTACAAAAATAGCTTCCCTAATTATCACCTCTAATATCATTAGCTCACAGACATTTACCTCCCCCCCATTCCCCTTCTGTTCTGAAATGTGATTTGTCCTTTTCATATGTGTTCATTTTTTTAATTGTATCCTTTGGTATATATGGTTGTGACAATTTTCTTCCACTATTTGATCTGATGAAGTGGGTCCAGCCCATGAAAGCTCATCACCTAATAAACCATCTTGTTAGTCTTTAAAGTGCTACAAAGTTTTGTTTCAGCTAGTAGAGTAGTTTTGTTTTCTTAACTTTACAGACTCAGACATCAGAATATACATTATTAAACTTATATACAGCTTGTGGGATGATGGAAACTAGTTAATGAATTCATAGCATCTCAAGAACTTTCTGATACTAATCTTGAATCCGCCATAATTCAGTTGCGATAGAAAGGTGGAAGGAATGTGAGGCAGTCTAGCAGCAAAAGAAGATGTAGGCCATTAGAGTCAGATATTGGGAATGGAGGGTAAAGATTATAAAAATCAAAGTGCTCTCTGCATACTTCAAAAGGACCCTTTCATGTTGTCTTTCTCTTTTTCGTTCAGCATGATCTACACTTTAGTGAGCTCTTAACTCAAAAATCATCATTAAAGACTGGGAACAACAAAGGATGGTGAGCAGTGACAAGTCAGCCTACAGTGATGCTTGATGAAAAGAATAGAAAGGAGAAGAAAGCTTTGAACCCAAGCACTAATACAGTGTATGAAAGAGATACAGTCAGAATAATGACCAACTGTGGATCTGGAGTACCATGGAGACTAGGCTGAGTAAACAATGTTTATCTTCTGTTTCTCTGTATACCTTGATCTATGGCTTTAAACAGGCAAAAAAATTATCACACATGGAGGCAAAGTCAAAGAACTATGATGGGAGATGCTGCTTAGTGAATCTGGTTCATCGCAAACTGCTAGTTCACAAGGAACAAAGTGTCTCGACTGTTTTGTACTGAAGCAGTGAAGGGGGAGAATCATCATCCTCAGAATGGTGGCTAAGGATGCTGCTCAGACACATGTTAAATATACCGCTTTCTGAGCATGAACTTTGGTCAGAATCAAGGTGGGATTGATGTCCGTTATCCATGGGTGTTCATGTGACTCTAAGGAAAAAGACTTATTGTATCTGCCAATTAAGTGATTTTAATACTTTTTTCCACCTGTGACAAAGAAATTAATAACTTGCACCAGCAGTGCAATCATTTCAAAAATCCTGTGCCTGTGGTTGAATAGCCAGTGGTATATATTTTTATAGTCCTTCTGTGATGCTACAGTTTATGGTACAGTTTTATCTAAAAATGCATTAAGTTATGACCTAATTCTGTCAACCATTCATTAGCATAGTATTCCTCTTACTGGGGAAAAATTGTTGAAAATTACAATATTATGGAATGGTGTAACATGAATATTCTACACACCAGAATGTTGTATGCAAAATATTGTACCTGTAAAAGACCAGGTTATTTTAGTCTGTAATTTTGTCATGCTATTTCATGTGTGTTGTCCAGTTTAATCTGAAATTAATGGGCTATTTAATGCTTGGTTTCCCACATATTGGACAAGTGTTGTGAAAAATTGTCAATACTTTTAAAAATTATTTAATGCAAAGATTTTTTACTTAATCTTAGAATACAGGTTGATATAGATGGACTGTGTATGCTTATGAATAACTAAATATATGTGTGCGTGCACACAATCCACCTATATATGTTGAATATAATATAAAGGTTACTTTACAACCTATGAGTAAGGTGCTGGGCTTTTGGAAAGTGTTTTATACACTGACTACTGTATTAAAAAACAAAAAGTAATGTAAACAGTAATTTAATTTCTCATCTCATTGAGAAGTCCAGTCTTGTACTTCTTAAATGCAAACTGCAATATAATACAGATATATTCTAACTGCACAATTCCAAAGAGTATGTTGCAATAAAGAAAATTAATTGGCACAAATAGTATTTGGCCAAATCCTGTTGGCTTTACTCACACCTAACCCTTACTCTCACAAGGAGTCCCCTTAACTTTAGCAGGGTTGCAGGATAGGCCATTTGTCTTTACTCAAGGTGCAAAACTTTCACTGAAGTCAAAGGGTGAATTGTTTGACTATGGGACCAGGGTCTGTCCTTCACTAAATTTGCTTTGAACTGTTCCAGAAATGCAAAGCATACTTAAAGCTGGCTTAAGTAGCTAGCTGAGGTTTTCCTTAATAGCAGGGGAAATTGAGTGGCATAGGACTGGTTACATCAGCCTTGCGCCACCCTGCTTGTAGCATAAGCATAAGAGTTTTAAGGTGGAAGGTGTGAGGTCAGTGGGATTTGAGGAAAGATCCCTCAGGCTCACAGCATCTTTAGGATCAGCCTCCAAAGAAGCAAGAACCACATGGCAGCAAACCATCCCCATTTATTAACTAGTGATGCTGAAATAGTGGCAGGTGATATTCTTACCTCTTCAAATGTATACTAGATCTTCGTGATTTTCTTGTCAGGGTGATTTTGAACCCATAGAGTTTATCAAATGATACAGTAAGTAGAAGAGATTGTTTTGTTTTTAAAGTAAAATAACTTTGTTTTATGTCTTGTTACTGTAAACAGTCCAGAAACTTAATCTGAATTCCTTTGTATTGTGACTGGGTGACCTAACATCAGAACCAATGTAACCAGAGCTGGGGGCTGTCTCATAAAGGGTAAAGAACAAAAAAAATGTTTTGCAAAACTTATTATCTTTTCTTATGTCTGTATTTGCCAGCTTTACTTGAAGAGGGCAATCATGAGTGGAGCAAGAGACAAGAGAGCTGTGTTCTGTCCTTAACTCTGCAATTGACTTGCTGTGTGCCCTGGTCAATACCTTTGATAGCCTGGAATCAAATCCGAGTAAGGGGAATGTGCAGCAGGCCTGATTAGGAAGCAACTGTGATTCAGAATCACAATCTGGTTCCTGCTGCTTCTTTGCTTCAAGAGGGCATTAATCTGGGCCAGCCTTTTGCTGTCTCATCATGGGGGGGCAGGGCATAAACTCTGACTACTCTCTGGCCACCTTTACCTCTGCTTACCCTCTCTGCCCAGCTGCATGGAAAGGTAAATAACTGAATACTGGCTTCCCTCCCATTGCACTCACTCTGGTGATGAAGGTGGCCCACTTAGGGTATGTCTACACAGCAGGGTTAAAGTCAAATCAAGCTACGCAACTTCAGCTAAGTCAATGGCGTAGCTTAAGTCAAAATACCTTAAGTCGGCTTTCGACACCATCTATACATCAGGAAGTCGAAGGAAGAACACTCCTCCGACTTCTCTTACTCCTCGTAAAATGAGGGTTACCATGAGTTGGAGCTTAACATTGTTTCGAAGTAAAGGCTTGTAGTATAGACATGCACTATGTTATTTCGGAATAATGTCAGTTATGCTGAAATAACGCTGCTGTGCAGATGTGCCATAAGGGAAACAAAAGATTTTTCTTATGCCCCTTTATTCTTCTGAATGGGTATATAGATCAACACATGATTGAACCATTAATATTTCAGTGCCTCTGCGTCACTATCTGTAAATTGGGAATAGCTATCTTATGACAGCGCTTAGAGCTTTTTGGATGAAAGATGCTTTAGAAGCAGAAGGTTCATACATAATTTGTTATTTGTTTATGGGACATGAATATTTCTATAGGGGGGAAGTAGGTGATGGAAATGAACTAATTATGATGAAAAAAAACCTGAAGGAGGTGCCTGTCCATGGAGTCTACCTAGATAATTTGAACTCACTGAGATCTCCAAGTAGTGGGCTCACTAGAATGGTCATATAGTACCCTGGTCTTATGGCTGCTTTTCCATGCACCCATGTTTAGTTGAAAAGGCAGCTCTTGGGAAGGAATTTTCTAGTCTCCAGCCTTACACTATTCTATTTTTAATCATAGTAATAGCAATGATGTTGAATAAAATTGTCACTGTCCTCACTGTTTTGGTCTCAAATACAAGAAATTAATGCTGATAGCAAAGTGCAATGACTCCAACTAATCAACTGTCATTACTTATGTCTATTTTGTCCATTTCCTTGGGCCTAACCTGCTCATACAAAGCCTATGTAGCTGGAAAAGGAATTCTCCAGGCTCCCAAAGTCACACAGAAACTATACTAACCCTGAGGCTGCCATAAACCAGCACCAATACTGGAGACAGGAATGACTACTAGTGAATCAGCATAGCCAGTAACAAACCATTACTCCTGCTTCCTTCTCCTCCTTTGCATTTTAATGCAGGAATGTGAGACTAGAATCCAATATACAGAGATGTGCACTTCCTTCACAGAGCCCAGAAATCTTACTTCCACTCTCTGGCCACATCTGGTTTCTCCACTTCTAGGGACCATTTCCTTTTTTGCCCAGAATACCTAATCTAAAATCCATTGAAGTCAATGGAGGTTTTTCCTTTGCCTTTAGTGGACTTAGTGCATAGATGGCTGTAGAACTGCGGGAGTATCCCCACTTCAAAGCTCTTCCTGTGTTACTGTGTCCTACCTGTGGAGGACTGAACTTTGCATCAGTGATCTGACCCATATTACTGCTCTGGTGAGTTACTCAGTCACTTGTTATTTGTGAAAATGTTTGTATGTATTATAGTTTGTGTTCCACAACTAAACACCAAGAATACTTTAGAATATTCATACACTGCAAGTACATGTCGAACCTCTCTAATCCAGCACCCTTGGGACCTGAGCGGTGCCTAACCAGAGAAGTTGCTGAACCATGGGAGGTTGATATTGTCTAGGAGCATTATTAACACTTCCACTGCTTAGTGGCTCTTCAAAGACATTTAGGGGTAAATTAGAGCTAAATAACAGCACAGAACATTGAGAGCCACTCTAACTAGCTGTAAACAGACTTTATGGGTGTCACAGAGTGTGGGGGAATCACTGGGTCTTGCACCTCCTTCCGCAGCCAGACTTGACTTTCAGCCAGCAAGTAGAACAGAAGGTTTATTCATTGACAGGGACACAGTATAGCACAGACTAGTTAACACAGGAACCAGGAGCAGCCAGTACAATCCAATTTGGGGAGAAGGGACCCCACAGTCAGCACCCTGGGCCCCCTCTCTGCATCCTCTGCCTGCCAAGAGTAACTCACACACCCAGCAACAGGTCCCAGCCCTGCAGGCAGCCCTACCCCTTCCTTTGTTCAGATTCCCTGACAAGGTGTCACCTGGTTGCTCCCCCCACCTAGGCTCAGATTACAAGACAGCCCCAGCTACTGTGTACATGCTAAGATAGGGCAGCCCGGGACAGCTTCCCCTCAGTGAAAGCCACACCCAACATTCACATCCACAACTGGGTACCAGTGCAGTGTCCAGGGAAACTGAGGCACACACACAGGGTTACAACAAAGCAGTACAGACAATAGGAATCACATTCAGTATAACAAAGCAAACACAGCGAACACAATCCCCACTCTGTCACAATGGGACCACAGGAAATTTGGCCATGCTCCTGGTAAGGGAACATCCAGCTAACTAAAATCATGTGGAACCACAGATGCTGCCGGACTAGAGAGAGCTGGACTACAGAGGTTCTACCTGTAGTAGATTGGAGTTTTTTTTACAGTTAAACTGCAGGTGGGTGGGTAATTAAGTTTTCTCCAAATATTATGCACAGATAGCCTGATCCTGTGAGCTGCTGGGCATCCTCAACTATCAATGAATTCTTTAGGGAGATGGGGTGTTTGGCATTTTTTTAGGATTAGGCCTACTATCCATAGCTACTTTAGGAAGGCAGAGGAAGAGACAGAGGGGGTCTCAGAGTACTGTGGCATTAGGATGTATTTTCTGTTAGTTGGAAGGCAACAGCAAATGGAATATGGTCAACTAATAAGAGATAAAAAAGCTAATACATTAGTTTAAAAAACCCAACTGTTTAAAGGTATTTTACTTCTGTGCATTGAAACTAATGTAAACATTTGTAGTAACACCATACTGATTAGGAAGCAACTGTGATTCAGAATCACAATCTGGTTCCTGCTGCTTCTTTGCTTCAAGAGGGCATTAATCTGGGCCAGCCTTTTGCTGTCTCATCATGGGGGGGCAGGGCATAAACTCTGACTACTCTCTGGCCACCTTTACCTCTGCTTACCCTCTCTGCCCAGCTGCATGGAAAGGTAAATAACTGAATACTGGCTTCCCTCCCATTGCACTCACTCTGGTGATGAAGGTGGCCCACTTAGGGTATGTCTACACAGCAGGGTTAAAGTCAAATCAAGCTACGCAACTTCAGCTAAGTCAATGGCGTAGCTTAAGTCAAAATACCTTAAGTCGGCTTTCGACACCATCTATACATCAGGAAGTCGAAGGAAGAACACTCCTCCGACTTCTCTTACTCCTCGTAAAATGAGGGTTACCATGAGTTGGAGCTTAACATTGTTTCGAAGTAAAGGCTTGTAGTATAGACATGCACTATGTTATTTCGGAATAATGTCAGTTATGCTGAAATAACGCTGCTGTGCAGATGTGCCATAAGGGAAACAAAAGATTTTTCTTATGCCCCTTTATTCTTCTGAATGGGTATATAGATCAACACATGATTGAACCATTAATATTTCAGTGCCTCTGCGTCACTATCTGTAAATTGGGAATAGCTATCTTATGACAGCGCTTAGAGCTTTTTGGATGAAAGATGCTTTAGAAGCAGAAGGTTCATACATAATTTGTTATTTGTTTATGGGACATGAATATTTCTATAGGGGGGAAGTAGGTGATGGAAATGAACTAATTATGATGAAAAAAAACCTGAAGGAGGTGCCTGTCCATGGAGTCTACCTAGATAATTTGAACTCACTGAGATCTCCAAGTAGTGGGCTCACTAGAATGGTCATATAGTACCCTGGTCTTATGGCTGCTTTTCCATGCACCCATGTTTAGTTGAAAAGGCAGCTCTTGGGAAGGAATTTTCTAGTCTCCAGCCTTACACTATTCTATTTTTAATCATAGTAATAGCAATGATGTTGAATAAAATTGTCACTGTCCTCACTGTTTTGGTCTCAAATACAAGAAATTAATGCTGATAGCAAAGTGCAATGACTCCAACTAATCAACTGTCATTACTTATGTCTATTTTGTCCATTTCCTTGGGCCTAACCTGCTCATACAAAGCCTATGTAGCTGGAAAAGGAATTCTCCAGGCTCCCAAAGTCACACAGAAACTATACTAACCCTGAGGCTGCCATAAACCAGCACCAATACTGGAGACAGGAATGACTACTAGTGAATCAGCATAGCCAGTAACAAACCATTACTCCTGCTTCCTTCTCCTCCTTTGCATTTTAATGCAGGAATGTGAGACTAGAATCCAATATACAGAGATGTGCACTTCCTTCACAGAGCCCAGAAATCTTACTTCCACTCTCTGGCCACATCTGGTTTCTCCACTTCTAGGGACCATTTCCTTTTTTGCCCAGAATACCTAATCTAAAATCCATTGAAGTCAATGGAGGTTTTTCCTTTGCCTTTAGTGGACTTAGTGCATAGATGGCTGTAGAACTGCGGGAGTATCCCCACTTCAAAGCTCTTCCTGTGTTACTGTGTCCTACCTGTGGAGGACTGAACTTTGCATCAGTGATCTGACCCATATTACTGCTCTGGTGAGTTACTCAGTCACTTGTTATTTGTGAAAATGTTTGTATGTATTATAGTTTGTGTTCCACAACTAAACAC